TATATGATTATTATTATCGGAAAATAAGAATGGCAGACCATTATCGCGCATTTTACTTTGTGGCAGACCACTTTGAAAATGCAAAATTGCATTGAAAATGCAAAATTTTGAAAGTAATTGACTAGATCTGCCTTGATTTAATAATATGTTGTTTATTATAGTCTTAAAAACTTATATTGATCACGGCAGACCTCTCATTGCGTACAACATCAACATATAATAAAATCTTAGCTACTACCCGGCCAGATGTATATTATGTTTTCCGTTCACTGTTTTAAGAGAATATAATTTATTGCGATTTACTTTAGCAATGTATTTACCGAAATTAATATTTTTTTATATTCTATATACTAAACTTCATTAGTTAGACAATAAAGAAGTGAATTTTTTATGGAATAATTATAAATAATACGGTAACAATGCTGATCAAAAAAAATTCAATTCCTCATTTTTATTCAAGACAAAATTTAATTCCAGCTGTTAAATCCATAAAAAAATCAGTCATGTAACTGATGGAAGGTTCCCAGCATTCTATAGCAACTATAAAATAATTCGCACATCAATGAACAACTTCATAGCAAAAAAAAATCAAAATCTTGACGGCACAGGCTCAATACCACCGCATAAGAGTGAGCTTTATCAACAACTTTTGAGGGCCCACTATATTTCTTCTATTTGGAGAAATGCTTACAAAAAGCAACTCACAACTTTAGACCCATTGGAGTATGGTTGGATTGAGCAGGACAACATATATGCCTTCAAAGGGTTCGAAGGTGACCAACTTCCATATTTTGTGAGTGACTTAATCACCAATGTTCCTGGTAAGTTGATAACAATTCTTTCTCGAACATGTTCAGATGAATTTACGTTCATTTTACAATTTATGTTTTATTTTTGCAGTATTCGATTCAATGGTTGATGAAGACGAGTCGCCTAACGATAAAGATGACTCCGATGATGATGATGATGAATGAAGATTGATATATATATATAATATGTAATGCATGCATGATATATTTTTTTAACTGATTTAACACTTTTAAATTTTGTCTTGACGAAATAAAAATGAGGAATTGAATTCTTTTTTGATCAGCATTGTACCGTATTATTTATAATTCTTCCATAAAAAATTCACTTCTTAATTGTCTAACTAATGAAGTTTAGTATATAGAATAGAATATAAAAAAATATTAATTTCGGTAAATACATTGCTAAAGTAAATCGCAAGTAAATTATATTCCTCTAAAACAGTGAACGGAAAACATAATATACATCTGGCCGGGTAGTAGCTAAGATTTTATTATATGTTGATGTATGTACGCAATGTAGAGGTCTGCCGTGATCAATATAAGTTTTTAAGACTATAATAAACAACATATTATTAAATCAATGGCAGATCTAGTCAATTACTTTCAAAATTTTGCATTTTCAATGCAATTTAGCATTTTCAAAGTGGTCTGCCACAAAGTAAAATGCGCGATAATGGTCTGCCATTCTTATTTTCCGATAATAATAATCATATATTTTCAAAATTTCAAAACGGCAGACGTGGTCAAATGGATTTAAAATCCGTCAAAATCGGTACCTGTCCTACCTGAGCGCTCGGCGCGTCGACCACTTTGAGCTTAGTGAGTCCCCACCTCATGCATGGTAGGTATAGGGGTCTCAATGTACGAAAATTCAGGTCTGGTCAAATACATACAGGTAGATCCCACGGGCTCTCGGGCTATTATCTAGTTACTATTGATGATCGAAGATACCGAAACATGAATGCTAAGTCTCAGTTTTTACAGTACCTACTGCGGCTCCCTCACCCTTCAAACCGAAACGCATTATTGCTTCGCTGCAGAAAATGGCAAGGGTGATGGTACCTGCCAATAGGGACTCACAAAACGCCTTAGCACCATGAAGTAAATGTATTAAACATAGATTATACACTTAATATATTTGTATTAAAACTGGTCGTACGAATTAAATGCGGACACCATATACGGCTTTCCCCGCCAAATGGGAACTATCCCTCTGATACCACTTTCATTCAGCACTCTTTGGCACGTGACCAATAATCTGGATAATCTAGGTCGAAAGAAAGATTTATAAGATATATTAAACCAAGCTTAACGCAGGAATGAGTAAAACTGATTAAATGCAAAAAATATTCTAAAAATTTCGATAACTAGATTCTTTTCGGAAGTTGCAGAAGTCACGCGATATCAGCTGATTGAAATACACACATGCTAACTTTTAATTCTTACCATTTTACTGAAAGCTTTTATCTCGATTTTTTTTATCTCGTCTAACTACGGCGCTATATTATATCACCCTATTTAATATGTAAGGTAGAACTTAGGAGTAGAATCTCAGTATATTAAAAAGCGTCCGCCAAAAAGAATTAAAGTGGCGCCATAGTAGCAAGTGGAATAATTTTAAAAACAGCACCATAAACTACTACACTTCGGCATTTATTACATTTCAAGTGTACATAACGATAACAACAGAGAGCTCCGCACCGTTCGTCTGCGCGAGCTGGAATGTGTTGTGCGACGAACAGTTTTCGCAGCTACGAATAATAATACTTATTAACTCCATGATTAAAACACACTCTTCAGTGTAATTCAGTACACTTCACTCTGTTAAAACAGCAATATTCATACCTACGACTTCCACTTCCTACATTAGCGCTATTTCGGTGAGTCTTCGAAATATTATGTATAACTTGCTGCTTACATGTGGACACTTTTTCAACTTGTCCCCTATAGAGGATGGTGCGCCTTAGTTCTATCCTCCATATTATTTAATTGCATTCCTTTACTTTTCATAAGTCATAAGTCAAGGATATTTTCACTTTTAATTTGACATGATTTTGCTGCTTTAATATATTAAGGGTATCTATGGACTTGACTTTATTGGCAATGTTTCCTTTGCCTGTCTTTTGAACGAATCAATTTGAAGTCAATGGTAAATTGAAATTTATTTGTGTAATGCAATTTATTTTGAATGTAATGTTTATTGTTTAGCTTATTTTCTATACATACGGTGCAGTATAATGTCCATAGAAACGGTGCCAAAAGAATTACGCGGGTTGCGAGCATGCCTGGTCTGCTCTTTAATAAAGGTAATTTAAGATCTCAACAATTTTGTAATAATTATTGTACTTACAACTAATTAGATATATTCTTACCTAAATTTTGCATCTGTTAAAGATTATTTACAGCTTAAAACTTCTCAGGTAGTTTCAAAAACACTAAAAAAACCAACCAACCACCTACGATTCCTACTATTTAGCATGTTATGTTTCTCTACAGCTGAAACTAGAATATTCCTAATAGTTACATTTAATATGTATACTTGTTGAGTATACAGTTAGCTAGTATTAATCGAAGTCTTAAGTCTCAATTGTATTGTATAATGGCTATACCACCCTTCAAATCGAAATGAATGAATGCTTTGCAAGAGACAGAATCAGGATGATAGGAATAACTCATGCTGATATAAAACTAAAAATTCTATTTTCATTCTTCAAGAAGAATTCTTCTTTCATTTTGCATTCTCTCTTAATCGCTTTTTAGAACATCCAGTGAAAGAGTTGAGATATTGCTATTTTAGGCCTATAACAACAGACTTAGATTCATTTTATTAATTGCAGACATTTGACCAATTTGAATATGAAGGCTGTGACAATTGTGATGAATTTCTTCGCATGAAAAGTAACAAAGATAATGTCTATGACTGCACAAGTAATAACTTTGATGGGTAAGTTGTGATGAATGATCATCAATTTGGTCTAAAAATTTTTATTAATTTTGAATTTTTGTTTACAGAATGATTGCAGTAATGAATCCTGAAGACAGCTGGGTTTGCAAATGGCAGCGAATTAGTAAGCTAAACAGCAAAATGATGGTACAATATAGTTAGAATTCTTTTAATTAAATTATTACAAATACCCCCCTTTATCCACAGGTAGATTTTGTAAAGGAGTTTATGCAATATCTGTTTCTGGAAGGTTGCCAGCAGGTGTAATAAGAGAAATGAAGAGTCGAGGTATTGCCTATCGCCCAAGGGACACAAGCCAGAGATAAAAATGTTTAGTATTAATGTAAAATAAAAAAATGTATTAATACTTAATTAAAATAAATTGTTCAGAGACTAATAATGTTAAATTGTGTTCTAATTTATTTACTACATAGCATGTTCAAGATCTATGTAATAGGTAGGTCTCATAGGACTTGACGATCTGCAGAGGTTGGGAGCAGACCACGGACCCAAGGACGTTTTAGGGCCCTACCGCACTAAGTGACTCCCCTGCACTCTATCACCCGACGCCCAATCTCCGCCGGAGGTCTGAACCCGATCTGAGTAAGGGGTTTCCCGCGGGAAACACTAACCAGACTCGCAGCGCCACCCCGAGGACGCCTGATCAACGATGCCGATCTCCGCGGTACAATGTATACATGCTATTTTAATTGCTGGGCCATAGTTCATTTTAATCAGCAATGGCTTGAGGGCAACAATTAGATTCCTTTCTATCCATTGTCTATACAAAATTATATATTATATTCTATTTCTCCGCTCAGTTGAAATTTGAAATACAGATACCTGTACAGATTTAATAAACATGGCAAACAACAAAAACTTCAATGTGATGCTTGAAGAAAACATTTCTATTTACTTATTTTAACTATGACATTATTATTTTGAATGTAATGTTTGCATGTTGAGGTACTAAGAATTGATACAAGAATTTAATGTTTTTTTATAAGTGAGTACAAGATACTAAATTTATTAAGCTTTCAAGTTCAAACAAAGCATCTTAAAGTCTAAATTTCATGTTCAACATGTCCACCCCTGTTTTGCACACATCTTCGCATTATTTTACGAAGTCCAGTTTTCACTACACCAGTAGTTAATTTCCTTCTTATTTCATTCGCCACATTAATAATCCTGTCTCTCAATACCTACTTCAATTGATGAAATTGAGTTGGGCTCACTGTACACGAGACTTCATGTGTCCCCGCACATAAAAATCCATGGGGGTTAGGTCCGGACTTCTGGCTGGCCAGGGTATAGGCCTACCTCATCCAATCCGTTTGTTTGGATAATTTGTGTCCAGCTATTCTGACTTCTCCTGAAAAGTGCAGGGCAGACATCATGCTGAAACCACGTGTCTTGAATCAGATTGAGTGGCAAATCATCTAATAGGTCATTTAGGCCTCCTCACAGGAAAAAATCTTATCAGCATTTAACATAAATCTGCAGAAATCTAATCTTCTCACAGGATCTCCCCCTTCGATAGCATGTACCGACGTATAATGATATGGGTATCGGCACTCTGTCTGAACGGTAAACCATACTTTCCATTGCGAGAGTCCCAGATTACGGACAACAATATTAATAGAAGTGGTTGGATCCAATCGTTCCACTACCTCATTGGTTTGTTTTTCGTCGTCATCAATCACACGTGGTCTTCCAAAGTCTGTACGACGTCTTGATACGGAGCCAGTTTCTCGAAGTCTTCGATAAACTCCGTCGAACACGCTCACATCCGGCACTCGACGGCCGGGATAGGGTGTCATGTACTCATTGCGAGCATGTGCAGACAGAATTGTAGTATCCGTAACAAATTAACATGTCAGCATATTCCCTCATTGGTGTAGGTCGTCATCTTTCACAGTTCTGTATCACAAGCATAAATCAGAGTCCAGTTTACAAGCACAGCAGTCCGGAATCAGAAGAACGAGTCCAGAAACATTACATTAAGCTCACACGCATCGCATCAACCTTGAAGGACAATTGGGGAGGGACTGTTAGAACCTGCTACCTGGGGGCTCGCAACAATTTTTTTCTATGCTGTTTTATTTAAACCCTAGATTGTTAGACCTCATTGGATAGTTGATGAAATCAAGTAGAAATCATTAAGCACATCTGCCAACCAGGCACCATTTTTTTTTTAAATATTGATGAAACAAAATAAACTATCTAATTTTGTATCAGTTTTTATAAGTTTTAATCATCTACAACAGCTTATTTATTAATTTTACGTACAATATTGGTTATAGGGGTCATACATCATCTTATTTTACAGAGTAAAAATCATGTAATAATAATAAGATTTACGCATTTGAAAATATCTAAGCTGATAGCCGAAAATCAGGTATTTTTATAAAAAACAAATGCAAATATCTTTAAATCGGTTAGATTTAGGATGTGTTTCATAGTCAAATCAATCAGAAACTATGTAAAATAACATGCCCTTAACGGGAATAGGTCGACTTAACATGTAACCTTAAATACATTTGAATATTTGCATACATAGATAATAGACACCCAGACAAAGAAACAAACCTGTTCATCACACGAATGTTTTCCTGATATGAAAATTGAACCCACAACCCTTGGTTCAACAGTCAGGGGTTTACTAATGCATCCTAACAAAATTGTGTATTTCACTCAGCAACTGAAACTTGTTTTTTTTGTACACTGCATAGTATATAATATGTCGAATGGAGTAAATATTGAAATATTTCATAAGTGGTATTAAAAAAATTAGACTTAAAAGTTTTAATCCATCGATTATCATTTATTTCTATTCACTAATTTTCATCATTCACACAAGAAACTTCATAAGTTTTAACACATTCATTTTCCTCTTTCACTGTAAGCCTATTATCACTGAAATCTTGGTAACTGCATGGAATCTTAAGAAACTTGCCAAGGATATTGCAACAGGCTGTGGGTTTAAAGACACAGACCAATTTGGGTTGTCAGCTACTATTTGCATTTGGTGGTGTTTTGTATTCATTTTCAGTGCCTAAGATATCCTTATCTATTTCTTTGAAATCAATGCTTTGCTGTTTCATTGCATTCTGAAATTAATGTACACTATTAGCATAGATATATGACTGCATAGTTTCATATTTCATAGATTCAATAAATATTTGGATTATTATGTTTGAATTATGATTTAATTTGGAAAGAACTATATGAACCTTGTTAGGTTCAGAAGAATTATGTTCTGAATTATCAATCTTTCACTTGAAACTCTAACGTTAATTTTTTTTCTTTGAAGATAAGATAAACAAAATGTGTACCTTAACACATTCTTGATAAATTTTAAATATTCCAGCGCAAACAGAATCATCTTGATCGCCTTTTAAGAACCTTTCCGAGAACCAAGTATTGAAACAATCATCGTATTTTTTCTTTAGGTCTGTACATTCTTCGCCAATGCTGTTCATTTTTTATTAAATCTTTTGGAGATCAATTAAGTAAATTCTGCCGCAAAGTTTAAAATTAAAACGTTATCCCCAATTAATTTCGTTTACAATCGATGTTTCTTTCAGATTTGGTAGTGGACACCAAAATCAAATAATGTGTACAATTTATGATCAGACGGGCACATTGGATGGAAGTGTCACAGAACACTATTTTAGCGAAGGGAAGTGTTCTATGCATTATCTATAAATTGTATTTTTTTTAAGGGATTTTATGACCTGGTAACTAAGACCCTTAAGTCATGTTCTATTTTAATTTATATTCTAGCCCTTTTCTTGACTTTGTATCTGTGGAGATACATCAGAATTAAAAAATTCTAGTGCCGTTATTTTTTAGCGCAATCTTAATAATTTTTGTATGCGTGTTTATGGACTCAATGAATTTGGCCCCTCTTTTTTTGTTTTTCGGATTTTTTTAATTAATTTTTTCGTCATTTGTTCGTTAGTGTTCGAATGTAAAAATCTTGTGTTACTTAGCAATACAATTCTCTGATTCGTTTGCTTATTAGATTGATTGATCCCAATGATTAATAATTGGGAATTTAATTGTTTTTATGATCGAACAATCACCGATAGTCATCTAACAAACGCTAATTGATCAAAATTAATTAATCTGAGCGGTAAAAATAAAGATATCTAGTAAGAGAGGCAAACTTAAGGGTGATCATTTGTTTAATTAATTATAAATAAATAAAAGACGAACAAACAACTTTTACATTCGAACATTAACGAACAAACGACGGACAAATAAATAAAAATAAAAAAATCCGAAAATAAAATAAAAAGGGGCCAAATTCACTGAGCTGTGTTTATGTTTTCGAAAGCACTTTTGGTTTTTTCTGTTGGCCAGACTGATGAGTTGTTTTTTTTAAAGAATTTTATGATCTGGTAACTAAGACCTTTCATGTCAATCAACTCATGTCTTATTTTAGTGTTTATTCTTATTTTTATGAAAAATGATAAAATAGAGTGAAATTAAATGAATATGATTAATTTGAGACATTAATCAACTGGAATGAAATTAAATGACGAGATGATATGGGATGAAACATACTTTCAGTAAAATGGTGGTCATTTACTGAGATTTTTTCAGTGGACTTTTTGGAGGATCCCGAGAAGTTATGGCCAGCGGCTTTGTTTCATTTTCCCACATTTGTGCACTTTCACAGATATTAAACCACCGTTATTACACATTTAAACCTGAAGAAACACTAAATAGACAAAATAAAACAAATCACACAACAAATATTATTTCTGTGAGTACAATAATTTCCCTATATTTGGATCCAAAGGACGACGCCAGCTATGCATCCGAGGCCAGACTACTATTATGTGCATAAAATGTGGTATAAGGCTTTGCCTATTATCGGATAGGAACTGTTTTATCAATTTCCACATTATAAATTTCAAAAATTAAACTGATTTTGTTTTATTTTTTCTGATAGAAGTTTGTCCCTTAAAGAAATGATGAATTAAAAACACCGTTTAATAATTATTATTTTCATATAAATTATTTTGTAATCAAATCATAGTAAATCTGGCAATGTATCTATAGAGATACATTGTTAGCGTAACATATCTATTAATGGTCTTGGCAATGGATCCTATAAGATACATGTGTTTTTTAACTACCTTCTTCTTGTATTGTATTATACACATAATATATTGTAATTTTTTGTAGTCTGTATATATTTAATCAAAATTTAAACAAATTAAAAAAAATAATTAATCAATATATAGTGTAAAAATAGCGGATATTATTTATCATTCGTGATAATTGTTTTTGCTCCATACACTTACTTTTTGCGGTGAAAATACCATTTAAACGCATCAAGTATAGCTAACTCTATATTTGTTGTTTAAATGCAAAATAGATGTCTTACCTAGATGTGAATTAATATGACCTTGTTATTTACATTTATTACTGAAAATCGTAGTGTTAGAGATAAAGTTCTTACGTGATCTTACTTAAATATTTTTTTTTAGCGCAAATGAAATTTACTAATGTAACAATTAATATGATAACGTACTTGATATAAACTACGTCATCGACTAGGACATGCGGAATCGAATTTTGTCAAGGAAAATTCTATCATGTTAAAATTAAAACAGGTTTTGTTTTTGTAACATTTTATACAATAGTGCTCATTTAAATCTAGATACTATGAGAAAGTTAAAATAATAGGTTTCCGTATTTAAATTAAGCTAAGTTTTAATGGTACCTATTTCACCGGTCATCGTTCTCGTCGAACCCGTCGCTTACGACGAAGGGCTCGACGAGTAAATTAACCCTCAGACACAGCCCACTGAGTTTCTCGCCGGATCTTCTCAGTGGGTCGCGTTTCCGGTCCGGTGGTAGATTCTGCGAAGCACGGATCTTGCTAGGGTTCGTGTTAGCAACGTCGTCAAGTTTGAGCCCCGTGAGCTCACCTACTAGTTAAGGTTCCGCTGATATAGACTCTCAAGGCTATCAGCTTAGGTAGGAAAAAAAGGTACGTATTACAATTATTACCCATGTATACCCAATACATTTAAATCAAAGTTTAAAATAAATTTATTTTAAACTTTGAGCCATAGATAATATACTTCACTGAGCGTAACTTGTATAGGTCTATGGTAACTCTTGAGCCAATTATTAGAGGTCGCTGTTTCAAAGAGCAGCTAGCTAAAGGCAGCTAGCTATGCATGGGTTCTACGCACATTCATACAATCATCTGTTCCACATTTTTTGTCCATTACAGCATTGTCTGGACTTGGACTATTAGTAGTTATTGCTTCTTTACCATTAAAAAAAATTACTAGACAACAAAATACGCTTAAATATATTTTAATTAGAAGGTAATTTAAAACAAATGTTCTTAGTACACAATTTTATTAGTTATTGTCAGAGGTTCACAGGTTTTAATGTTAATGTTACATTTGAAAATTAAAGCTAAATGCATCATAACGATTTGCATCTACAAATATTTTTGTCAAATTTCCTTGTATTTGATGTGTAATAATGAATGTTAAACATAACAAAACAAACGTTATGTCATGATGTGGTCAGGCTGAGAGTAAGCGCTTTCTTTATTTCTCTACCCAGAGCGGCGCCAAGAGGTGGTGGAACTGCATTTCCGATCTATAAAGGAATAGACAAAATAAAATAATAGACAAAAAAAAAAGAATAGACATAAGCTAGTCAATAAGAATCAGGGGCTCAAGAATATATCTATCTTAAACATATCATTATTAAGGGTGGGTGCGTTATTGCAGTATTATTTAACACTAGCGACCCGGCCTCGCTTCGCTTCGGAAACTGTAATTTATTATTGATTTCTCCACTATTTAATGGATGTTATTATACATATAAACCTTCCTCTTCAATCACTCTATCTATTAAAAAAAACCGCATCAAAATCCGTTGCGTAGTTTTAAAGATTTAAGCATATATAGGGACAGACAGATATAGGGACAGAGAAAGCGACTTTGTTTTATACTATGTAGTGATAATTCAGTGAAGCTTTCGAGTGAACAAAAATTACTTGATCTCCGTAACACCGGTTATCTTGGTTTGAAGTTAATTGGTAGATTTTTTACTGTTGTATATGAGCATAGCGGCTGCTTTGTGTAAGAAACACATAACGGTGGTCGTCAACTCTTACAAGGCTCATTAGACGCAAATTATAAATATTGTGGCTTGCGGTGCAATTAAACCTTGCCCATTGGTGCCGTGCAGTAATGCGTTTCAGTTTGAAGGGTGCGGCAGCCCTTGTACTTAATTTTTATTGAGGTTTAGACTCTTATCTCAAGGTGGGTGACGACATATACCGTGTAGATGTCTATGGGCTCTGGTAACCACTTAACAGCAGGTGGGCTATGCTCTCGTCTAAACATCTAAGAAAGAAATACTTGACGGCGATTTCTCTTCTTTAACTCTTTCCAACAGACTTTTTGTTTATTTTTAATGGCAACGGTTTAACATAGAACACAAGACCTATCGCCGTGGAAATGAAATATTGATTTTGAAAACAATCGATATTACAATGCACAATGTTAGTATTGACTGAGATTTAGGCTGCACGCTTGATGCCCCCATGCCATTGTTAATGTCTATGAGTGACGGTAACAACTTACCAGCAAGTCAGTTGTAATCTTGCCTGGCATTGATGATGGCAATAAAAGAAGACGGCTCATCCTAAAATTCCTGTAATTTGCTATCGTAATTGGGTGAACAAACTCATGACCCACTTACAGTGTTTTTTTGATCTCATTTTTACTATCAATTTTACGTGTTAAGTATTTGTGAGCGATAAATAAATAAATAATAATTCATATTGATGTCGTCGTGGGCAGTCATGACCTAAAGGATAAGACGTCTGATGTATTCGCGTTGAAATCGCGTTCAATTTTTCTAATGAAATACGTACTCAACAAATTTTCACGATTGACTTCCACGGTGAAGGATACCATCCATCGTGTAATAAAAATCAAACCCGAAAAATTATAATTTGCGTAATTACTGGTGATAGGACCTCTTGTGAGTTCGCGCGGGTAGGTGCCACCACCCTGCCTATTTCTGTCGTGAAGCAGTAATGCGTTTCGGCTTGAAGGGTGGGGCAGCCATTGTAACTATACTTGAGACCTTAGAACTTATATCTCAAGGTAGGTGGCGCATTTACGTTATAGATGTCTATGGGCTCCAGTAACCACTTAACACCAGGTGGGCAGTGAGCTCGTCCACTCAATTAAGCAATAAAAAAAACAAATGATTTCTATGAAATACTCAAATATCTCTAACCTGTCGATGTTTATCCTGTACGGAGCCTGCGAAGAGATATGTATCAGGGAAGCCCTGCGAGCGCGCGCACTCTCGCACGGAGACGACTCGGTGCTGGTCGGGGTGGAGCACCCGGCCTTGCTTGCCCATCGGTTCGGGATCCGTCACCGTCGTGCTGAAGTACCCGCCCCACGATAGCCGACCTTATTTAATGCATTATTTGATTATTATTATTATTTTTCTATCTAAGCTGATGGTCTTGAGATACCATATCAGCGTCACCGGGCTAGTAGGTGAGCTCACGGTCCTGAAACGTGACGTTGTTGCTAACACGACCCCTAGCAAGAGTCGTGCTTCGCAGAATCTACCACCGGCTCGGAAACGCGACCCACTGAGAAGATCCGGCGAGAAACTCAGTGCGCTGTGTCTGAGGGTTAATTTACTCGTCGAGCCCTTCGTCGCAAGCGACGGATTCGGTGAGGACGATGATCGGTGCTTGGGGCACCTAAAAGCACCGTTAGTGGATCGGGCGGATCCGTAATGACGTGTTTTGGGCAAGGAAGACAGCAGATATTGCAGTATAACACTTAATGAACAAAACGATGTGTTGCATAATTTAAAAAATCACTAATATTTTTTTAGCGGTTCTTTCACTAAACCACCTGATTTGGTTGTTTTTTTAAGAAACCAGCTTAAATTAAAATTCAATATCATACGACAGATTTTCTTTGCAGTTGACACTGGCTAGGGTTGTCACTCGTACTTTATAATAAGTATTGTAACTTTATAATAAGTATTGTGCGTTGTTTCAGGTAATTGTACTCTATACTTTATGTGAACACGAAAATACTTTATTTGGCATCATTTGGTTTCTTTGGGATTTTGAAAAGCTTAGTCATAATAATATGTAATTTTTCGTTAAGCGCAATAGATCGATTGCTCAATAGCTGTCGCTACTCGCCAACGCCAGATCACTTAACCACTCGTTTTTCTAACAAGTATTTCTGAACGCAAATTAACCTCAAATGTCAACAATGTCACTGTCATTAATTGTCACACTTTCTTGTTTATTTCAATTTAATTGGAATAAAAATGTTTATTTTAATGCAATTGGGATGAAAATGTGTATTTAAACATAACAAATAGTAATAAAAAAAAAAATTAGTTTATTTTACCACTATGTACTTTTTTTAATCTATAATAACCAATGTAGTTTATTTGCAAAAAGCATGGTGGCAACCCTAGCAGTGGCTCGGCTAGGCCATTCGTAACTGTAATGCGGTAAAGTGGCCTATAAGACACAGGTAGCGCGGCGGTTACCGTAGAGCCCGGCCCAGTGGTTGTGCCTGTTGCCGGTGTGCGGCAGACACCACGGGATGAGCGTGTTCTCCTGCTTGTCCAGCGGCGAGCAGGCGCGGCCGCTCGCGCACGCGCACACGCCGCGCACTGCGCCGCTGCTCGACCGCCCGTTGCGCTTGTCGTCGTAGCGATACTGTAGAACCTGATCGAAATACCATATTTAAGTAGTGTAAAATCTTATATATCGATGTAACGGTAATAGATGTGCCGATTATTTTATTTTAATGTTCATCCTTTTTTTGTTTTTAAAGTGATTTTATGACCTGGTAACTAAGACATTTAGGTCAAGTTTAATTTAAATTTTAATTAAACTTTTTTATATGAAAAATTATATTATGAAATGAAATGAGATGAGATCATATGGGATGAAATATAATCTCAGTAAAATGGTGGTCATTTATTGAGACTTTTTCAGGGTACTTTTTGGAGGATCCCGTGAAGTTACGTTCAGCGGCTTTATTTTATTTTCTCATATTTGTGCAGTTTCACAGATAAATTAATAAACCAATTAATTTTAATTACGTTTAAAAAAAAAACAATTATTCCAAGGGCATTTGTGTGCCTCTTTTTAAAGGGCTATCTCAAGACAAGTGGAAACATGACTCCACAATAAAATGAACTTGTATTACAATGACTGCTGCTTATTTTGAATGCATTCAAGAAATAAATTAGTCCATTGATTACCTATTTTTACTGGTGGTAGGACCTCTTGTGTGTAGGCAGATACCACCACTCAGCCTATTTCTGCCGCGAAGCAGTAATGCGTTTCGTTTTGAAGGGTGGGGCAGCTGTTATAACTAGACTGAGACCTTAGAACTCATATCTCAAGTTGGTGGCGGCATTTACGTTGGAGATGTCTATGGGCTCCGGTAACCACTTAATAGTAGGTGGTCTGTGAGCTCATCCACCCATACATGCAATAAATAAAATTTACCTTGCACTTAGTGCCATCGGAGAGAGTAACCGATATGTTGGGTAGATCTCTCCAGTCGGAGCCCGGTGTTGTAGGTATCCTGCTGATCCTAGCTTGAATCAATGGCGCCATGTTTTTACAGATGTGATCTCGTAGTTTAGAATTCTCATCGTTGCTTCGCACTAATCTCTGGAAATGACTTTCTGGCATGGAGCCATATTCGATTTCTATTTTATTAGCACCATTACATATTTGAGGTAAATCACTCATGGCGTCTTGAATAGTGCACGTTCTTTTTGGAGCCGACTCGTCCCAGTGAATATTAGTCGAGAACCTTTTGCCGTCAATCGTCGTTGTTAATGTACAAGCACGTCTACTGAAGACGTGTGTGGGTTCTGGGTAGAACGGAAGTTTATAACCCGGCGCTGCCGCCAATATTATCAACCTTCGTCTAGTTTGGGGAACTCCATAGTTACCCGCTTGTAAGATACCAAAGGTACACTGGTATCCCATGTCCAACAAGGCCCGCAGAGTGAGCTTCAAAACCATACCTTTTTTAAAGGCCACAAAGTTACGAACATTTTCCAGTATAAAATATTTAGGTCTGTAATAATCACAAAACGATAAATACGATGCAACTAATGAGTTTTTGAAGTTCGAATACTCTCTTGAATTAAAACGATTCATTCCGGAGAAGCCTTGACATGGTGGCCCGCCACATAAAAGCTCCACTTCTCCTTGCATGGGGAGCCGCAGTCCATTCGCGCTGTGCTTAGCACCAGACATTACAGTTTTCAAAAGTGCATTACAGTCTTCATTAAATACAATACAACTTTTATTATTTAGCGAATAAGCATGAGAAGCAGCTTCGACATTTTCAATAGCCCACTTGCATTCTGCAACTCCAGCTTGATGCAAGCCTTCTGATAGGCCCCCACAACCGGCAAACACGTCTAAAGTTCGCAACGGTCTAATTTTCTCTTCTACAACTTTAGCGGGAACCGTTTCAGTAGTTTTCGTAGATTTTCCCTTCCCCTTCCCTTTGTCTTTAGTACGATCTGTTCTTCCAACACTGATGGCATTCTGCGGGAGATCCGTGAACTCTCCCGTGGACTTACAATACGCCATTCTGAAGTAGAATCTGCACGGATCACTTCCTAACCATTCTTGAAGTGAAATATTTTGGGGAACATTTTGTTCATAAATTAAATGACAATGCCCAACGACGGTCGAAAATGGAATCTCCCTTATTTCATTTGTCCAATATAAAACATTAGTGTCCTCGTGCTGCGGAAATTTACTGCTCGTGTTTTCAGGTCTAAGCAGTACATTCACTTTCAGGTAAATGTCTTGCGGTACAACTAGAGGTCCCTCACTCGCGGCAGTGACGGCAGCTATGTAACCCACACAAAAAGGTTCCCCGGTATCAATATTAGACCCACGCGTATTGGAATCGTTCTTCCTATAATATTCAGGATAAATAGTTTCATCGACTTTTTCAAACCGCGGTTTGGCAACAGTGTTCGCTTTTGTCATACTATTTTTTAGTTTAAAGGTTCCCGGTTTTAGGAAAACACCACAACCCTTCTTATAGTCAAAGTCTTGCCATTTTACATATGACCATTCCGACCTGTTTTGTTCTGAAACAATTTCGGATTTCACAATCAATTTTTCAAAAACTTTAGGAATGTTTCTTGCATCTCGTTTTGTTTTACGTTCACAAGATGGGCAGAATCTGTGCTTTCTTAAAGCATTTGGACACGCTGGATCTGGAGGTAAATCTTCAAAACGCGACGTGAACCTGTCGTAATACTTGCTATAAAAATAAGTTCTTCCATCATCCTCGAAATGTTCGTCGTCTACTTCTTTCCCGCCAAGTTTAAACCAATCTGCTGACGTTTCTTTCCTTTCTATATTCGCTTTTCTTAATATGGAAGAAAGCGGAGCACCATGGCAACATCTGTCGCCCAAAAATACTTCTCTTGGGTCACTCACTTCTCCTAAAACTGTGTCTGAGGCTCGTATGAAGACTTCTCCGTGAAAATAGCCCGATTTCGGGTTAAGGATTTCTTTCCACATGTATACAACTTTAGCGACCAGTGTAGGAATGTTTGTTTGGGAAGTTTCAATCATGACAAAGTCACCATTACAGAGCTCAGCACCATCAATTTCAACTTTTTCGTAATATATTTTTGTGGCATCAGCTTTAACAGGCTCACCAATCCATTTTAAATTTTTACTATTTGACCCAGTGAGCTTGACTGGTACTGCATCATCTATTTTGTCTTGTTTTTTCTCAGATATTTGCTGATACTCATCTTCATCATCGGGATCAGAATCTTCTGCCTGTTCTACTGCCATATTAGGACATAATCTACGGACGCATGCTTTCTTAGTTCTTCCATGACCACCGAATTTAGCCATGGCACGACATGCATTACATTCGCCGCAATCAGGCAATTGACAGGCTTCACAAACCCCGCATCGTTTTCTTCGTAAGACCAGTTCGTGATTGGTTTTGTCTAATTGATTTGAGAAAAAACTTTCAAATGTTTTTCTTACAAGTGGAGTTGTTGTAGCTTTTGTCCATGCTTTTTTATCTGTTTTTTTGTATTGTATCTGGGTACGTATTTTTCGTTTACCGAATTTTATGCCCATTAATTTGATAAGTTCTCTCATACAAGGTAATGTTATTAATGGTTCATCGTCTTCCTCGATTTCTAAGCTAACTACTTGATCACAAACAAACTGGGCATGTTTATGTAGCATTTCTTCTGTCATCTTTTTATTATTTAGTTCAGGAATGGAAAATTCTCTTACAACTTCAAGTAAATCTTCATAGCTCGGTTGTAAGTAGTGATATTCTTCTAGGAATTCGACAACTACTTTGCTAAGCCATATTTTTTCATATAAATTATTCATTAGGGGCGTATAAGCTTCGCTAGGTTTGAGCAAGTTATATTCCCCAAATTCCGTTGATAAAGTTATACAGTTCCTATCTCCGCCATCGAAACCATGTATGAACCTGATGGTATGTAAATTAGAAGATTAATAATTCACAAAAAATAACAAAAAAACAAAAAGATTTTTTTTATGTGGTCATGATAAGTGAGATACATACCATTCTATTATAGGACCTACATCTTTAACTGGAATGGATTCTTCGTCAATCTCTGATGAATCAGAGCAAATTGACTTTAAATATCCAGACATATAAATTCGAACATCATTTTCTACCAAACCACCATCAATTGGACACAAATGTCCTTGCTCATCAAATATTGTAAAGCCAGTTATATTTGTTTGGGGTCGTTCCATTATGTCTCCATCTTCCCCTTGAATGAGTACATTACAATATAATTAAATTACAATATAATATAACAAATGTTCACGATTGACTTCCACGGTGAAGGAATAACATCGTGTAATGAAAATGAAACCCGTAAAATTATAATTTGCGTAATTACTAGTGGTAGGACATCTTGTGAGTCCGCGCGGGTGGGTACCACCCCCTGCTCATTTTTGCCGTGAAGCAGTAATGCATTTCGGTTTGAAGGGTGGGGCAGCCGTCGTAACTATACTTGAGACCTTAGAACTTATATCTCAAGGTGGGTGGCGCAATTACGTTGTGGATGTCTATGGGCTCCAGTAACCACTTAACACCAGGTGGGCTGTGAGCTCGACCACGCACCTAAGCCACCAAAGAAACAATGAATGGGAAATATTGAAAGTGATAATGAAGATTTGCTGGAAGAAAAGTTCCTACAAATTCTTTGCACCCAATGCAATCATTTTAAATTATTTATCATAAACAAAGAAAAGTCAGAATGCACAAGGGAGATGTTTCCAAAGACATCACATCATTGTGAATTACAAAATTTAAAATGTATCTTTCATTTACATGAAGTAAGTGCGTACATGTAAAATCAAAAACATGTGTAAGCATGTGTAATTCTTCTCACTTAAAACAAGACTTCTTCTTCACAAATGTCTGACTGTGCTGTATCGGAGTTGCTGTTAGGCAGTGGTACAAAAATGTAGATATCACTAAAGGTTAATTGGGCCAAACTAATAATAATGGGTAACTTTTAAGCCAGTTAAATGGCAATAATCATAAATTACAAAATATGTCAAAGTAAGCACAATTATTATTAGCATATTTGGTGAATCATATAAAGGATCAAATAGACAAACAACAGAGCTTCAAGCTTTAGAGTTTAACTTTGAGACCAATCTTATTACTTTTGTGACTTTGTGCAATAGTCAGAATTTAAATTCAAGGGCTTTTTTATTGCTTAGACTGGTTAACATGCTCATGGTCCACCGGACAGTAACTGAAGGTTACTGACTGGTAACCACTTAACATCAGGATGAACACTCAAATAGCGGAGTAAAAAAAAGTGCTGTTACATACCAGAGCTCAAAACAAGTTTGTCATTAGTCAATGCAATATATTCTTCAACAGCATCTTGTGGGTGACCTTGGTAATAAATTAAGTCAGAGTTATTTAAAAATTGGCCACATATGTTACATTTCTCTGTATCAGGGATAATATTATTGCTATTCTTAATATTAGATATGGTCTCTGAATCATCAATCATGTCATGATTGTTGTTAACTGATCCAGGCTTATCCTTGTTATCTATTTCAGCAATGATAGGGTCACCATTTTTATATACTGGTTTATTTTCAACCTCGTCATCATTTTTATATATATTATTGATGTTTTCAGAAACAATAAGAGTATTATTTTTGGCTGGAATGTTAAGATTTTCAATAGAGTCATTGCTTGTAGAATCTTGGGAAATTCGATGTCCATCATTGTTTTCTGTTTTTGATCGTTTCTGTAATATACAGACAAACATACATTAAGTTTCATTATTGTTAGATTTATTAAGTCTGAAGTCATTGTGACCTAAAAGATAAGATGTCCGATGCATTCGTGTTGAGCAATAAAATAAAATAAAAATCAAACCCACAAAACTATAATTTGCGTAATTACTTGTGGTAGGACCTCTTGTGAGTCCACATGGGTAGGTACCGCTACCCTGCCTATTTCTGCAATGAAGCAGTAATGCGCTTCATTTGAAGGGTGGGGCAGCTGTTGTAACATACTTGAGACCTTAGAAGTTATATCTCAAAGTGGGAGGCGCATTTATGTTGTAGACGTCTAAGGGCTCCAGTAATTACTTAACACCAGGTGGGCTGTAAGATCGTCCACCCACCTAAACATTAAAAAAAAACAGTGGTATAAGTAAGGTATCATTGAACATAAAGTACCAGTGATTACTAGCTCAGTAAACTATGAAATTGTCATAGGTATTTTTTTAAATGCAAGAATTTTGTTTCTTCTAATTAACAATTATACTTTTTATGTTCTAAACATGAATTACTGCATTGACAAGTGATTTAGCAATTCTCTTTTTGCATTTTAAAAAGCCAAATTAGCTTTGTCATGCCATGCAACTAATTTATTTCCTAATTTTTTTCTATCTAATGATGCAATTAGGGTTTGTGACTCAGAAAAAGTTCTTTTGTATACATAAAGGAAACGCAATATTATTTTTTTCATTGCCTTGACACATTCACAAGACACTCAAAGACCATACAATAATAAAATAGTTACCAGAGCCTATATATATCATAATATGAAAATGAATGATAATATGGATGAACCCCCTTGAGATGTGTGGTCAATTGTATTGTATAATGGCTACAACCACACCTTTCATGCCAGATGGTATGACCTCTTTGCGGTAGTAGAATATATTGTGAGCTTGAAGTTAGGTAGCCCCATTCCTCTGTCCAATAACTATTTTGATTTTTTTTGTCAAAACAAATTACTTACATTATTGGCAGAAACAATTTCTTCACAGCTCCTTTTTCTCTTAGAGTTTTCTTTGATTATTTCATCCCCATCAAGTATCTTATCCATGCACCTAAGAAACAAACAGAAAGTCACAAGATCACTGAATGTAGTTTTACTTAGTACATTCAATAAATTTTGTAGATAATTTATAATTATCAAGAGAGAAGAGCATACATGCACCAATCTGACCTCATCAATACTAGAGACAGCCAAGCCGCTGCCCCTAGGAACTCTTCAACCCACACTTGATGATTGGTATGCCCAAATAGTTGTCCATTCCATTTTCCGATTTAGAATCAACCTCAGTTATAAAGCGGCGACGAGAATACTACTGACTAAATTACGATTTATTTAGTCAGTGAAAATTTGATTTGACACAAACAAATTTAATGTTTTTAGATGATACAAATACATACACTTGTGTTATACTGTTGCAAGTAATAGTTGAAGTGGGCATTTTGATTTTTTTTCAATTTTTATTTTCTGTTAATTATTCATTGAAAATGCTTAGATAGGTATTTAATTTTTATAACAGATTAATCTTGTTTTGATTTACCGAAACGGCGCCAAATCTGACAGTTGACACTTTTCTAGTAGTAGTAGTAGTTTTATTTTTCCAACTGGAAAGGCAAAAGTGTTATAACGTACAGCTTAATTTTTTATAATAAAAAGGGAAATTAAATGAAGTTATAATTTGGAACATTAATCAATTGTCATAAAATTAAATGAACTGAAATAAGATGAGATAATATGGGATGACATGTAATCTTAGTAAAATTGGTACTAAGACTTTTTCAGTGGATTTTTTGTAGAATCCCGAGAAACTACGTCCAGGAGCTTGAAACAAAGTTGCAAACACATTTGTGCACTTTTACAGATACTAAACAGTTAATAAGCCACTGCTAATACACATTTAAATCTGAAGAAACACCAATTAAATTAAATAAAACAATTCACACAGCTTCACAAAAGTCTCACACTTTTCTTTAAATTAGGAGCATTTCTTTTTTTCCAATTAGAAAGGTAAAAGTATCACATCATACAGCACAATAAACTTATATTAACATATTTTTTTTCAACCCGCGACACCTCATGTTGGCGAGTCCTTAAAAAAAAGAGTGAGTACCACTGCTCTATATATGGAACAATTTGTATGCATTGGGATTTTTTCTCTCTCTCTTTATCGATAGCGCGGACCTATCTATTTAAACTTAAACCTAAATACACAATTATATTATAATAATTTGTATTAAGTACATACCTTTAAAGCTCAATGACAACCTACATTGCTCCTTGTTACTTGAAGTCTAAAAACATGATAGCACTTAAATAGAATTTTAAAGTAAATACAATTTTTGTCTTGCAATATGTATTTGGTGGAGATAGATTGGGAAAATTATATTTTGAATATTATTCGAATACTGTGCATTGCTAAATTATTAACAATCGTCTTATTTTTTTAAAAACTATCCAGAAGCCCACAGAAATAACTAACTTCATTTAATTTTATCCCAGTTGATTAATGTCTGAAATTAATCATCTTCATTTCATTATACTCCAATTTTTTTATAATTTTTCATAAAAATAAAAATATAAATTAAAATAAGACATGACTTAAAAGTCTTAGTTACTAGGTCATCAAATCCCTTAAAAAAATAAGGTACTTACCTATCTTTAAATTTTTGTAGTTTGTTTGCATAGATTATACCATAGATTATACACTTAATATATTCAAGTTTGTTTGATTTGAATTGATTTGATGTTTCATCTTCATTAAATGAAGATCTCAGGTTTTAAATAAGTACTTTATTTTAAAATTTGCCACTAAAAATGAGACATACTACGTTAAACTAAGTGTGCTGTTTCTTCATCTGCCTCTTGGTAGTTTCAAATTATCATTGTTCAAGTCCCTTGATTGGTAATATTTTACTTCAGTTAAAATGCTATACATCTCTTCACTGATTCAGAATTACCGTATTGTCTACAGCACCAAAGGCTTTAAAAGATTTTTCTCACAAATTTATCCCAATTATAACTTACAATATTATTGTAATCCCAAAAATCATGAAGAAATAAAACAAAATATCAAAATACGAAAAGGAGTAGGAGATGTCGATAGAGTAATGCAATTGTATAAAATTATCACAAAAACTTCTGAGGATAATCATGAATACGAAAGAATAAAGCAGGATTTATATGAAGCGCTAAGTATCTTACCAAATAAAACCCATCCTTTTGTAAAAGGAAAGTTTGAACCTCACATTGCCCATGAAATAAATAAAAAGAAAGATTTTGGAGAATACAAGCCTTTTGAATTCAGTGAAATAACAAGATTATTAAATTTAATGAGAATCGAGAAGCTGGGACACACCTGTGGTCATAAAAGTTATTATTTTTTTGGAGAACTAGCAGAATTAGAGGAAGCATTAATAAAATACACAGTAAAAAAATTACTTGATGACGGTTTTCAACTGATATCAGTACCTGACATCCTTGCTAGTAATGTTTTGGAGAGCTGTGGCATGTCTGTAAAAAGCGACAGAACACAGGTACAATAACATTTGAAGACAAAATTGATATGAAGAAGCGTTAGAATAGGTTGTCTTCTTTTGGATATTTGATAAAACTTACATAGTGAAATAATACTACTAGAGATAAAAACCAAAAGTATTGCTATCGTGAGACTGATATAGTGAGCTCGGTTAAGCTTTCTTGTGATTATACCTAATTGTATGAAAAGAATCCTGTATTTTTCTTCAAAATCTGGTTTATAACATATCAACATCAGTTAAATTGGTGCAACAATCTCAATTGATCATTTATGTACTATGATATTTGTATATTCTTCTCTTTTTCTCCACCTTATCCCACTAGGTGGGGTCGGCACAGCTGATTTTTCTCTTCCATCTTCTAACAGCCATCATCTTAACACTCACTCCTCTCTCTCTCATATCGTCGCATCACATGTCCATACCACGCTAACCGTGATGATATTTGTATATTGAGACTGCAATTTACAACTTGAAAAATCTGTAAAATCAATGGACTTAATCTCAAGATTTGTTTTAGATTTATTCACTAGATCCACACCACCATGGAACTGACCTTTGTCTTTCTGGAACTGCAGAAATGTCTCTGGCTGGATTACTTGCAAACAGTGTACACAATATTAATGATTTACCCTTGAAACTAGCTGCAGTAAGCAGGTGTTACAGAGCTGAAACTTCTAACTTGGCTGAAGAAAGGGGGATTTACAGGTAATATAATGTTATGATGAACATTATAGGCCTATTCTGTATAGTACAAAGATCATATTATAATTTAAGGACAGCTGAATGCATTGTAATGTAATTTGAGTTATTTGTTTGTAATTTTTTTAGGTTGTATATTTATGAATAGGTAAAATCTCTAGTATATAAGCTCTATCACAAAATATTTGTTCTGTTTTAAATTACAAAATTTTACTTTTCCAGAGTTCATCAATTCAATAAAGTTGAAATGTTTGTAGTTACTACTTCTGAACAATCTGAAGAAATGCTTGAAGTGATACGGAACACACAAGAACAAATCTTTACACCACTGGGAATATCTGTAAGGGTTTTAGATATGCCTCCTTATGAATTGGGTGCAGCGGCTTACAGGTTCGTAAACAGTACTGTTATAAATAGCTCCTAAAATACTTTAACTATTGCTATAATATTGCACTGTGTGTAACATAGAGATTGCAGAAAGATAAATATTAATAGCACACTGAAATTATTGATTTTTATTGCCATTGAACAGCAAACAAGTCGACAACAAACTTATTTGGTTTCTAGCAGTTACCGGTGCATCAATAGCATATTAATGTTGTCAACACATAAGGATGAGTTTATTTTTGACTTGCAAATCAACTACCCCCATGTCAATCCAAGATTCATTTCAAATCAGCCTTGGAACAGAAATAGACAGTACTAGCTGATGCATGATTACAATCTAAGATAGAGCAATAGGTGAAAATACTGTAAATACATATAGACCCTCTAGGGTACCAGTACCACCTCTTAGTAAATTAGGTCATCATAACTAAACAGTGACAAATATGGATACTGAATTTCTTTACAGAAAATATGACATGGAGGCATGGATGCCTGGACGTCAAGCTTATGGTGAAATATCTAGCTGCAGTAACTGTACTGATTATCAATCAAGAAGATTGAATATTACATACAAAACATTAAATGATGAATATTGCTATGTCCATACACTTAATGGTACTGCATGTGCCATTCCAAGAATGCTTATAGCGTTGATTGAGACACATCAGCATCCCAAAGGAAAAATAATAATACCTGAAACAATTCAGAAATTTATGAATGGAAAAAAGTTCATAATGAAGAACACTAAAGTGCCTGAACTAAAATTGTTAAAAATAAAGAGATAAAACATATTTTATTGATTCAATATGTTAACACATTTATAATTACATACATGAAGTTTTCATTTTAGTGATTTACATTTTGTAAACTTTTTCATTTTTGCTTTTAGTTGATCAACATCTACTGTGGTTGTACTTGATGTTGTAGGTTTTTCTATTTTTTCTTGAGGAGGAATAAAATCTTTTTGTCTTTGTTCATCTCGTACTCTCTTAGCTTGAGCCTGTTTCTCTTGTTTTTCATGGTGAATCTTTGCCTTCTTTTGATCTTCCTTAAGGAAGTATTCCCCTGTGGCCAACTCCTTATCAATTTTACTTTCAGGTTGTGGAGGTGGGAATGGAGTATAAGGTTTTTTCTTGGCTTTCTTCTTTGGTTGCTTCCTTGGCACATTCTTGCTCTTAAATGTTGGCAGAAATCTATCCCAACTTTCATTTTTTAGCCTTGGGTCTTTCATTAATTCTCTTTTAATCATCAAACTTTTTATATTGTACATAGGATGTATATTTTTCATTGTGTCTTCAACAATTCGTCTTACTTGCACTAAACCTTTATAGGGGCCTACTGCAGATACTGTATTACCTTGGACCAAAACATAGCATTCTGTTAATAATTCAATGGATTTTAATGTAACACCCTGAGGTCCTATCAACCTCTGCCGTCTCTTCAAAAAGGTTTCTTTTTTGCGAACAAATGAATTAATTTTAATAATGTCGCACCCAATTTCGTCATCTAGCACACGAGAGGCTTGTTCAAACGGAACACTTCTCGATAACAGCTTCATGAAGTCTCGCGCTTTAATAATAATGTATGGATCCCAAGTTTTTCTCGTTGTTTTTACTGTTAAGCTTCCTTCAATTAAATCTAATTCTGCAACAATGTGATGTTCACTAAGTATTTTCTGTACCAAGGGCCAGCATTCTTTCAAGTATTGCTCTCGATACTTTGGAAATAATGTGGCGAATTTACTTTCTTCTAAAAGGCCATGCGGGTTGTCGTCGGGTGTAAATTTGGGTATCTTCATAGCCCAAGCATTATCAACTGAATTAGTTTCTTCAACTTCCATATTCGTTTTTATCAAATGTAGTGTAGCTAGCAAGGAAATGATTTTTTTATTGAAAAGATTGAGAAGAGAAATATATTTAGAATTCGGAACTATCGATTTTATTGTGACACTGTGTGACAACTGACAGTATGTAGTGATTCGGTTTTTTTCCAACATGAAAGGCAAAGGTATCACACCATACAGCCCATTTTATTAAATATTCTGTTATATAATAGATCATGGAGCGAAATGAAGGTAAGTTGATTTCGAGACTGTAATCAATTAAGATGCAATTAAATGAAACCAGATGAGATGAGAATAAGATGAGATGCCATAAAGGCTCACTAAAATCGTATTTATTGACTAAGACTCCAGTAGATTTTTTGGAAAGCCTACGAAGCTTCGTCCAGCGGCTTTTGTTTCATTTTTCCATACTTGTGCACTTTCACAGATGCCAAACGGTTAATAAGCCACCATTACTAGACCTAAAATCACTAAATTACCAAAATAATACAATCCACACAACTTCATTTCTCGCATTATCTACAAAAATCTCATCTTTTTTTTAAATATTTGCTCAAAAATTTATTGTTTCCATTTTGTCAGCAATGGGAACATATGGCATATTCAGTTATTTTTCGCATTTTTAATTCTAGCTGCAAAATCATCGGGGGTGAATCCTTAGTCCCTTAACACCGTTTAATCGTATTGGTATCTAAAAATTACATACGCAATCAAACAAGCAATTCCAAACCTGTTCCGTGAATAAAATGTCATATTATTAGAAACGCAGAATGTGATAAGAAAGTTAGAAAACAAGTACCTAGTAGATAAAATGATAGAAATGAAAGATTTGAGTGGAAGAACGGTGAATGAATGTTGGAATGAAATGGCTGAGTGCACAAGGAATGTGGCAAAAATCGTGTTTCGGATATCAACGGGAAAAAAATTAAGGATAAAGAGACCTGGTGATGGAGTGATGACGTCTTAAAAGCGCTTAAAGGAAGTAAAAAAAACTTTTAAAGAATTACAGAACATAGATTCCCCAAATTTGATTACGAAAGAGAAATTAAAGACAGCATATAAAAAAGGAAGTAGATAGCTAAAAAGGCTGTAGCTATTGCAAGGCTAAGGCGCAGGTTATACGAGTCACTAGAAAGACCTGAAGGATAAAAACACCTAAATAGAATAGAAGGATGGAAGAGATTTGAACCACATTAAATGCGTGAAAGATAGTGCACGAAGAGTTTTAACAAATTATGAGGAAATAAGAGATTTTTTTTTTATTGCCCTTGTAGGCAGACGAGCATACGGCCCACCTGATGGTGAGTGGTTACCGTCGCCCATGGACTTCAGCAATGCCAGGGGCAGAACCAAGCCAATGCAATGCGATAGATGGAAGATGTATTTTAAAAGGTTGATGAATGAAGAGAATGACGAGTGGTGAACTACAAAATGTTCCAATAAATACTGGTGGGGTAAGGGAAGTAAGTATGCAAAAAGTACGAATGTAAAGTAATGAAGAATGGGAAATTTACTGGACCACATGGTATCCGAATAGAAGTGTGGAAGTTTCTGAAAGGGGATGGATATACGTGGCTGACTTTATTCTTCAATAAATTGTTCGAAGAAGAGGCCGTGATTAACGAGTGGTGCAAGCAATCAATTATTCATACAACAATTATAGGGGAATAAAGCTCATGTCACATAGTATAAAAGCTTGAGGAATGGGAGTGGAGAGTGAGGTATCACGGAACCAGTTCGGGTTCATGCCGGGATGTAGTACAACGGACGCCACTTTGTCCTTTCGCCAATTGTGCAAAAAATACCGCCGTGCAACTAAAAACTTGCACATGGTGTTTTTTTATTTGGAAAAAACGTATGATAGGGTTAAGTACTAATATTAATTAAAATGGTATGTAAGATAATATTATTGTTTTATTTACATTCAACCATTATAATTTTATAAGACATTACGTTCATATTAAAATCGATACAAAAATAAAATATTAATGACAGACATGTTATTAAAATCAAACGCTTATTAACTGCCACTATGTATAATTTCGTGCAAGTAAGTAACGTTAGCTCTTCAACAGTTACTCGTGAGGTTCTGTGGTGGAGCACGAAAGTCAAAGGAGTGCCAAAAAATACCAGCGGCTTGTTCGGGCTATATACGGTAGAATTAGTACTTACGTAGTGGCGATAGCGGCGATTCAATATGGCTGTGTGTGTATTTTTTTTTCTTTTTTCTTGCTTAGATAGGTGGACGAGCTCACAGCTCACCTGGTGTTAACTGGTTACTGGAGCCCATAGACATCTACGACGTAAATGCGCCACCCACCTTGAGATATCAGGTCTAAGGTCTTAGTATAGTTACAACGGCTACCCCGCCCTTCAAACCGAAACGCATTACTGCTTCACGGCAGAAATAGGCAGGGTGGTGGTACCTACCCGCGCGGACTCACAAGAGGTCCTACCACCAGTAAAGGAGGGTTTGAAGATCAGTCGAACAAAAAGCGAGCACATGTTCTGTGAATTTGGTTCTTGAGACTTCACGCCAATCGCCTTAGATCGTATATCCCTGACAGTCTGCTCCCACTTCAAGTACCTCGGCTGTATACTACAGAACGACGGCAACATAGACCGTGACGCATCGAGCCGAATAAACGCTAGTTGGGTGAAATGGCGACAGGCGACAGGCAACAATGCAACTTAAGTTCAAGGGGAAAAATTACAAAACGATAATTAGACCTGTCGCGCTGTATGGCTCTGAATGTTGGGCGACGAAAGTAAAGCATGAAAGAAGAGTGCATGCGGCAGAGATTCTATGCGAGTGTCAAGAATGGACAAGATAAGGAATGAGTATATCAGAGGAAGTATGAAAGTGGCCCCGGTAATTGATAAATTAAAGAGCTGACGGTTAGCGTGGTATAGACATGTGATGCGTAGAGAGGAGATGCATGTGACTAGGAGATGTATGGAAATGGTAGTGCAAGGTAGAGGGGGAAGAGGTTGACCGAAGAAGACATGGATGGAGTGTGTGTATGACGATATGAGAGAGAGAGGAGTGAGTCTTGAGATGACGGCTGATAGAGGAGAATGGAATAGAAAAAATCGCTGTGCCGACCCCACCTAGTGGGATAAGGTGAAGACAAAGAAGAAGCAAGCTGCAATCAATGTATTTAAGACGAAATGTTAAAACGGTTGAAATTCGCCGAGACTCCAATAAACAAATTTGGAAGAAAACGATAAGTCACGTTCAGCACCTTTGTTAATTTCACCAAACTATAAACTTTCTGAGAAGTGGGTGTTTATACATAAAAGTTATAAATATAAAATATGTAAATCTTATAATCATTGTAAAATATCTAAAAGTTTTCTTTTGTAAAAGCGTACACGTAACCACGAGCACTATACATAAATCTTAACGATCCAAACACGTATTAAACATCCTTCTTAATATCAATTTTTATTGCAAAATGAGCGGTTTATCTGTTGTGATTATCGAAGCGAATAGATATCACGTGAATGTCGCCACAACTTTGTCGCATTCTATAAAAACAGTCCCACTATGGACCACACATACTTCGAGGCAGAAATGGGTACCAGCCCGTTTGATTGACGTTTTAGGAAATTCGTTTTTTACGAATCGTACCTCCGCGTTTCAACAATAAAAGCGTATAAGTACTTTTAGCTTCTTGACACAACGTATAGGACTCGATAAATTAAAAATAATATGTATTAAGTGTATTATTTATGCTCGATACACGATACTATGTAACATTGCCAACTAACTGTAGTTGTCAAGCACGAAAATCTACCGAATTCGTAATGTAAATCTATAGAATCCTCAATACGAAAACGGATCATTACATTAGATGGTAGTACTCGATAGCCAGCCTTCGAGATTTACGTTACCGTATGTCGAAATAATTTTCGTGTTCTCGATTACGAGTACCTATATGTTTTGAGTCTCGACAACGCGACAAATCG